AAAAAATAAGATACCAATTGCACAAACATAAAATGTTCAAAATCAATCTAATCTCTATTTGTTCAAATTATTCAAACATTCTGTCTTTGTGTATTGAAATTTTATAAGTAATATAGTACATTTATGCACGGACAATGACTAATATATATATATATATATATATATATATATATATATAGTGGGGGTAATTCGTAGCTTCAACCTTGTTATAACGTAAACCAACCGATTAATTTGGATAAGTGAAGAGTGAAGATCTTAGATAGAGAGTAAAGAGTGAGGAGAGGAAGATAAAATTTAATGATAATGATTTTAAAAGAAATATTAATAGCCGTTTGATGAGTTTATTTAACACCGTCAGATGAATTTTTTAAAACTTATCATATTTTATATTATAGATAGTAGTAACGTTCTCAAACCGCTTCTACTCTTAGAATTTTTTCGCTCTCGCTGTTGCTCTCACCCTGGCCCCTTGTGATCTAAATCGTACTTTTTATAGTTGAAATGTATTCATCAAAAAATTATAAATTAAATTTAAACTTTTTTAAATTTTGATATGTTGCCGATTTTAATATAATATCGTAGTCTTTCCTTATTTATGTGGGTCATTACATGGTGACCTGACAGCTATCTATGTAACGTGTACGCTTTGTTTTGACAAACTACTTGTTAAGCAATCAGGCAATGTAAATAAATAAATAAATNTATTTAAAAAAAATAATAACAGTAACATGTTTAACAAAAATATTAACATATTCAACAAAAATAGTAACATGCTTAACAAAAACTGTAACATACTTAATAATAATTATTTCTCTCAAATTCAAATGTAAAAAATAGTATCATTCAAATACAAAAAATAGTAATATTCAAAAAAAAATAATAGTAACATGGTCAACAAAAACAGTAACTTGCTCAAAAATAATAGTACATGAACATTAACATAATAAAAAAATAGTAACATGAATTTGAATTTTACTATTCAAATTTATAGTAACTTTTTTTTTTTTGTGTATTTGAATGCTACTATATATATATATATATAACCTATATATGGATATAGATAAATAAGAGACAGAAAAAATTTTAATGTTAGTCAAACTCTTAACCTATATATAAATATAGATATATATGAGGGAGAAAATATTAACTTTTTTTCGAGGAAAGANTTGTACTCTATATATATATATATATATACCTAACCTATATATGGATATAGATAAATAAGAGAGAGGAAAAATTTTAATGTTAGTCAAACTCTTAACCTATATATGAATATAGATATATATGAGAGATAAAATATTAACTTCTTTTCGAGGAAATATATTTTTGAGATAAAAAAAAAATAGACTTAAGTCATTACATATAATTTTAAACATTAACTTAATCCCTTATAAATTTTCTTGCAGGATTTATCTCTAAACAAAGTACATCCAAAAAGACTCACTTCTAATTTTCACTTTATATTAATCCAATTCAATTTAACCCAATCCACTCTTTTGCCACTTCTACTTCTTCGTACCGATGAGTCAAGATTAATGAAAGGGATCGGTGAGATCAGGGGTAATCGACACATAGGCTTAAAGTAAACTTCATTCACACACCCTATAATTAGCCATATATTCAACGACACCCCTTATTTCTTCTAAAATTTTACTGACACCCCTCAACAGAATTTGTCTGCTAATGACGATAACGGAGGAGGCCATTTACACAAATGCCCTTACAAGTGATATAAGTATATCAGTAATCAGATAGCCTATTTAAGCTTGTATTCATGAAACTCATAGTTAACTGTAGTTAAGCTACTTAACTGGACATATTTAATAAATCCAACCCAACTAATGTCTATTGACCATTCTGATTCCTATCCCCCACCGACACTTGGAGCCAAAGCTCCTTCAAACCCTTTGTCATCTGGTAAGCATGATCACTGCCTTTCACCCTTTCCCTAATGTGGATAAGAGTGTTTTGAAGAAGTAAAGAAGGTTCATGAAGCGAAGGCGTTGAAGAACCTCTATGAATCGAAGAGACTGAAGAAGTTCTGTGAATCCAAGACCGATTAGGTATGTATTCCTTTATGTTCGTTGGTTGTTGGATGCTCAATTATTAATTGATTTTTCTTTGTTATTGGGTATCGAATTCTGATTCGAATTAGGGATTTTTTTTTTAAGGATTAGGGTTTTATCAAAATTTGGGTTTTTTTCCAGTATGAAATGATAGAAAATGTAAATTTATTGTTGTTATTGGGTATTGGATTCTGAATCGAAGTAGAGCTTATTTTTTAAGAATTAGGGTTTATCCAGGTTACTGTTTTTTTCCCAGATTATGAAACGTTAGGGGTTTTTTCAAATTAGTTTTTTTTTTAAGGATTAGGGTTTTTTCAGATTAAGGAAATGTAAAAAAAATACAAATTTATTGTTAACTGATTATTTGTTAATGGATAGACATGGTTGTGAATCTTGATGACTTGATCATACATTATGATAACCAATAGTTCTTGGTGCAAAGAGTTGATCCATATAGGTATTGCCATGTACAATTATTATCTGATGTATTCATATTATCAAGCACATCTGATTCTGTTTGTTTAGCTTTCAAAGTTTACTATGATGTGTCTGGTTCTATTAACAACAGGTTGGTGGATGATGACAATTATTTGATGGAGATGTTTGATATGTATAGAAATAGAGAACAGATAAATGTACATGTTGTTGCAGCAGGAACTCAAACTGTTGTGAGAGATTTAACATTTGAATTGAATGGAATCCATCAGAGTCCAAGCAAATGAAAATTAGGGCAATGGTAATCAGGCCAATGAGAATTGGGGTTATGTTAATGACAATCAAGGCCTTGAAAATCAAGGAAACGAGGATCTGGGCAATGGGAATCATAGCGATGTGCAACCTAACCTAAATTTTTTTTTTTTTTGTAAATAGGTTTCAAACTAGGTTGTAACAGCACATTGATGCCAAGTATGGAATGGGTAAACTTATCAGTGAGAATGGTTCATTACTGGTTTTGGTTGTTCATTACCATTTTTGTCTAAATATGCATGTAATGGCCAAAGGGTAACCTTAGCAGGTGCAAACATTACTAACAGATACATATATAACACAACAAAGTCATTTCAACATAGATTACCATTCTCATAGATACATATCCAAAATAGCAGCATTCATTCAGTTCTTAGTCTGTTACATCTTCAACACGAGAATCATTAAAACCAGTACTTGTAATACCAAAACACCAACCACAACCATCTCTAACATCTTCAGAGTCTTTGATCGCAATTAATTCCAGATTCGGCTCATTTCTGACATGCCTCATTCCATATCGCTCGTCTTGACAGAACATTGATACAACAAATATGGGATTACACCATGCAAAATACCTACATGATCTCTTCTCACAATTAAAATACAATCATCCTTTGGTGGGCTTCTTCGATTCGATGATCTTAATCAATCTTTTTACGACAAAAACATTGGTCATAAGTAAATCTTATATCGACATTTTCCTCTCCTACATCACGACGTCCACCAAAGCTGGATGAATAAGACATTGAGCCCTAACTCTAACAATGTCACAAATCTGAATATATTATAAAAAAAATTAAAAAATAATCATAAAATTCATTAGTGGATAAAGCCAAAAAAAAAAAAAAAGGGGGAAAAGCTGCACAAAACCACACACTAACGATGCAGAGGTTTTACCTGGTAGAGCCGTAGAGACCTTTGTTCCTTTCTTCTACAAGGTGTCACAAAGTTGATGACTCTGGTTCTGGGTAGAGAACTTTTAAGCTTTGTGAAGTAAAGGGTAGTTCGACATAATGTCACAATTTTAAGTCATGATGTCAACTTTTCAGGTTGTCAAAAACGGCTGTTAACATAAAAGGGGTGTAACTGATTTTTTTTTTGATCACAAAAGAGCTACACCACTTCTTTTAAAAGTAGAAGTGAGGTAGTTTCCATATAACCTCCACACACACCCTAAGACTATCCGATGCGAGATAGTCCCAGTCCATCACCACGTCAGCCCAAAAGCCTGTTCGAGCTGAGAATTTATAAAGGAGTGTAACTGATTCAATGGTAGAATTTATAAAGGGGTGCAATAAAATATCAAAAGAAATTGGAGATGCCATTGAATATATGAATTACTACAGGGGATGTGAATAAAATTTATCTTAAATAATAAATGAGGCTTTTCATTTTTAATATTAATAATAAATTTAATTTTTAATTTTTTAAAAGACAAATATTAATTAAAGTTTGAACTTGACCTTTTTGGGAGGTTAAGACTTGATTTTTCAATAATTTTAATTTTACTGTTAATTTTATTCCTTTTTTTTTTTCAAAAAATTAAATTTTAGAGTCTTAATTTCATGATCTAAATTAATAAACTCAATCTACTCAAGTTAAAATCTTTTGTTTAGACTTAAATTTAAATTTTTTGTGAAGCCCATTTCTTATAGATTCAAATTTTTTGTTTAGATTATTACTACACACCTATACATTATGGCCTCAAGACCTAATAATTGAACCAGCCCTGCGAGAGATACCACAGGTTTAAACTTGGAGCTGGGAATTTGACGGCATGTTTCCGGTATATGTTTTCCATTATGGCAAAGCACAAGACGACCAAAATCAGATCAGATAAGCGGCATTTTCAGGTAGGCAGAATTTGCAACTTGAAGCACCCACGCAAGAAAGCTTCTCGGAGGAGCCAAGTGAAAAATCGGTATTCAGACCTCCACAGTCCACACCATCTTACACCATGGACATACAATTACAATCAAATTTCGTCAAACGGAATCTCAAGAGGAACAATATTTCTTGCAAAAAGTAAGGTCACCCAAATTCCAAATGGACTTTTAGTGACCATAATCTGATTAGCATAAGTTACACATGCACCCAGTTGGAGAAATTAGAAACTCTAGAAAGAACCAGGAGAGAGAATACATACAAAACCACTAAGCCAGCTGAATTCTCTCTTCACTGTAGTTAGCGGGAAGCCAATGACCAAAAATTCAAGAGAAAGGATGGAGAGACGGCAAACCAACTTATAAAAGCCATGGCTGTAGCCGACATGAACCTCGTGCAGTGGTTCAGGTCACATCTATCAAGATCGTTGCCAATGAGGACTGTGATGCCAGCAGATGCACAAGCAGCAGCAAACGTAAGAGTAGATGTTATCTGCACCATGATAAACCCATTTGCACAATTCAGGACCTATGTTGGTGGTGACAGAAAAGAAATGAAAGGGAAGAAAAAAAACTGGGTATATTGTGTAAGTGTCACACTAACACATGGGCACATCCACGTTGCCATTTTCCATCACCCATCCAAAGAGGATTTACAAAAGTTTATAGGAAAATACTATTTGGACCTAAAAATCTGACATAATTTGTTGACCTAACGACGTGACTTCATTAGAACCATTGGATTAACATCAATTTCCGATGTTTGATGGAACCCACAATCAGTCCAAAAGTCATAATGAATTAAGTTAACAAATTATGTCAGTAAATTAGGTCTTAATAGTATTGCGCAAGTTTATATAGGTGCAGAAAAATAGTGTAAAAAGTGGCACCCATTTCATTTGCATTAGTTCCCTCAAGATCCAAAAACCAGCATCTATTGAAGAAGCTATATTTGACCTTTGGCAAGAAGCCTAATCTAAAGTCAACTTTATAAGTCAAAGACAAAATGATAATACAAGGAAATCAAAGTAATTTCCAGCCACGAAGGATATTTCATAAACTTCCAAAGAAAAATCTGTAGGTTTTTGGTGCATATTGTCTCAGTGATATTTCTTTGTCAGTTCACTGAACCACAGTCCATCACCATTTCAGTAAGCAAGAGGCAACTCAACTCTATCCAAAAGAAAATTACCAAAGAATCCCCTGGAAAGGATAATGATGCTGTGATGCAACACCATATTAACTACAGTCAGTTCTTATAAGATGGCAGTTCCTCAAAAAATAAGGATATATAACAGCAAATATTAGTAAGATGATGGATGGCAATTAACAAACATAATTATAAAATGTAATGATGCTGTAAGTAAACATAATGATAGCAAATTTTCTTATCCCATCACCAATGGTAGCAGGTTTTTAATATGACAAATACACAATAAAAGTTTCACGAATACAGCAACTGAGAAGTTTTGGTAAAGTAACAGCAAGTTTTCTTACCCCATCACCAATGGCAAACAAACTGACAACTCCAGGGTTCCGAAAACATCGTCTCACTGAAAGTGCATATACATCAACAATGGCAAGCGAAAGGCTCCACAAACTTTGCAAGGCAACAGCAGCAACAAGGTAACTAATTACACAGAAGAGCACAAAAGTGTTAATAATTTGTTTCTTCTTCATTAGATGACAATGCACTAAAAAATCGTGAGAAATTTATGTTATTCTGCAAAGGAAAAGAAAAAGAAATCAAAGAGCAATATCAAAGTACCAATTATAAATTGGGCCAAAAGTTGCACACAGTGATACGAGAAAACATCAACTTGTGAAGTTGATGTAGAACAAGAATTACTAATTTCTCTATACTTTTTTATAATTTTATTAGGATAAAAGTTTTAGTTAAGAATATTTTAGAGTGATTTAGCTGCCTAATCATGTCAATTTTCCTAATTCATTAGACAAGTGTTTTCTTGTTTTAGGCAACTTTCTTAAAATTAGGGGTTAGGTCCGTTTTAAAAATCTTTAGGGCATGTTTGGTTGATAGGTTTAGGTGGGATTCATAGACTGGATTTTGTCAAAATAGTCCAATGCATCATCTCATTTCTTGTGTTGGTTGCAGATTTCAAGTCCGGGATTTGAATCCCCGACTATAATAGTCCCGCATTCAAAACCCATACATAAGGATTTCAATAAACCTATTGGGGGGGGGGGGGGTTTAGGCAATTTCATAGCAAATATTATCATTAATCCATTGGTATCATGTGTATTTGTGTCATTTATTAAACATGAGATTGGATATGATACATTGTTCAATCCCATGAACGAAACCTAAGGGTTGACTTTGGAAGGGTTTCATAAATTTAATCCAATCCCCATCTTAAAAGTCATCCAAACGGCCCCTTAGGGGTTTGGGGTGCTTATAAATTGCCCTATGTACTATAAGTTTTAATCAGTTAATCAAGTGAATATCATAATATTTTGAGAGTTTTCTCTTCCTTTTCTCTGTGGATTTAAAATGCTTTGTTCTTTGCATTTAGAAACGATGATCTCTTCGTGTCCTCTCGTTACCACTTCGTCAATTGGTATCAGAGCTTTGACTGAT